TGGTCTTCCCACGCGTGTATTCATTAAAATCAATTGTTTGACCAAAATCTTCTGGACCTGGTGGTTTGTACTCTCCTTCCTCAATATTTGAACCTTAACAGTACACATTAAATAAACTAGACTGGGTACTCTACAGTAAGGCCAGAGATATCTGTATTTTCTGCGTCTTTTAGCGTGTTTTGGACAGTGCTCAGGATTTTCTATCAGTCTGTTGTGGCCAGTCCTGTCCTCTATGCTCTTGCATGCTGGGACAACAGGTTGAGGTTCACAGATGCCAACAGACTAAATAAACTGATCTGCAAGGCCAGTAATGTTGTGGGGATGGAGCCGGACTCCCTTAAGGTGGTGTCTGAGACGTGGATGTTGTCCAAGAGAAGGACGATGTTGGACGACACCTCCCACCCACTCCACGACATGCTGGCCAGTTAAAGAGCCAGCACGGAAGCCCACACGCAGAATAGGTGAGAACAATACCAGGAACTCAGGGAAACCGACTGGATGATGAGGATGATTAGAAACCGGTAAGAACACAGCTGAACTAACTAATGAGAAACTGGGAAGTAGAAATGAACAAAGTGCACACAGACAAAAGGCTAACACAATAAAACAGGAAACCTACATGAAAACTAAACACTGACAGAAGTCCAAACTGAAAACGCTGGGTCAGCGGCCCAGGAACCCTGACAGTGGCGCTGTAATCAGCTTATAACAACACATTATAAATAAACGGCCCTGCCTTTCACTGGTGCTGTAAATAAACTCCGTGTTTAGAAACGTCAACCTGCTCTGCGCTTCGGTCCTCGCAATCGAACGTGACAGAACAGGTGTATGCAGGTGAACTCAAGAGTCGGTCGGGCTGGTTGGTGGTGGCACGGAGAAAATATCAGCTCACATTTATCTTACACAAACACAGAAGTTGGAGACGAGGAGAGAGGTTTTTGTCTTTTTTTCTTGTAATTAAAATCATTTTATTGTCTGGAGATAATTATGATCCGTATAGTCTATGAATTTGCACGAGCTGCAGATAAAGACTTTTTTAATCTTATTCAACTTTCAGACCCACTGGCAAACATCTGGAACACAGAGAGTGGAGCATGTAAACAAATCTAACCAGTTAAAGTAAAAACCAGTAAACCTGAAACTCCCCATTAAACTGACAGCATCGTCGCCACTGCTGCTGTTATCAGTGTTTTGTTCAAACCCTGATGCCGCGTGAGCTTAATGTCGTCATACGTTTTATTCAAACGCTGCTCCCAGTGAGGTTTCTGCTGCGGGCCTGTTTTTAGTGGCAAATCTGGGAGAAACAGTTGCATTTCTATGGTGATGACAGAGCTGAGCGTTAAACGAAGCAATGAGGCACAAAACGTGTCAGGACTTTTTTATAATTGAGTTATTCACTCGATGAGTAATATTGTGGCGAGT